CTTTTTTATTTGTGCGTATAGGAAACAGAAATTGAGCTATTTTTTCAATTAGATTTAAATCAAAATCATAGTTATACTGGATTAGATTAGTTCAAAATTGCTAAAATATTCAAACGTGATGCTTCCAATATGATCAGTAACTACAGAGGAATCTCCATTATGACAAATTTCACAAAGCTTCTTGAAATGATCGTATCTACCAGTCTGCTAAAAATTCTACAACTATCAGCAACTTGATATTTAGCCAGTTTCTATGTGAAACAGTAGCAATCAGTTGATGTAATGGATGCTGATTTTTCCAAAGCTTTTGACAATATCAGTCATCAGATTCTCCTCCAGAAACTTTGCTATCTGGGCTAACAGAATAATTATTTCTTGTCGTTAAACATATTTATCTGACAGACAGCAGTATATATGTATAAATAATGCGAGATCGAAAGTATTCACTGCGACTAGCGGTGTGCCGCAGGGATCCAATTTTGGACCTCCCCTGTTCTCACTTTATGATAATGAGTTGTGTGATTCACTTACTTGTCATAAGCGAGCTTAAAAATATATACGTCAGTATCTAGTGAAGAAAATGAAGTGAAGAATAGATCTGGAACCCCCTCTATTGGTTTTTGTTCAAGTTTATATTTGCGGTAGTTCTTCTATTTCTGTTTTTTTTGTGATTCTAAGATATTTTCATTTCGTGCAGTAAGTATACTACTGCTTTTTGCTCTGTAAAGGGTATTCATTGTTGGGCAATAAACGCTTTATCATTATTATTGTTTCATCAAGCACAAATTACAATATAGTAATTCATAAATGGGACTCACCTATAGTTGCGACAAAGCAAATCACGAAAAGTGTTGGAAAAAACCGCTTCATGGTGATCATCACGACTATATCGCTGAAGCACAACTGGAAGACTGGTAAATTGCCATCAACCATTTATTTATATATAACCGGTAGTGTCGTGGATGACTTATACAAGATCAAAATAAGTTCTTGTAATTATACGTATTTTACATAAATTATCATACGAAATCCTAATCTGACTATAAAGGACTTCTGCTTATGATATAAATAAAGTGAAAAATGGAGGCACTATCCTTCATATCATCTTATCTGCCAGGATTTATTGTTTTATCTGACGTCATGGACATTGCGAAAATTTGTTGTGCATGGTATCAGAAGTAGAGCTTTGGAAGCTTAGGTATTTTTCCGTACAAGAATAAAAGTGATTTTGACATTTGAATGTTACTTGCAACAAATAGAATATTTCCTGTTTATGTGTATGGTTTTAATTTTATTTAACATAACCCCAAGTCATATCGCTGTGCAAGTGCTGTTACTTCCTACGCCTCTGGCGAGGATTTATTGTGATCGTAGAAAACTCCAAAATGAGTTATGTTTGAATGTTACCGAAAAACTTATGTCTTGTCCGTCTATAACATTGATTCCCAAAGTGGTCTATATCGACCCCTAGGGGTCTATGACAACCTGCAAGGGGTCTACGTCAGCGAAAAAAAAATTGGGGGCCCATGAAATGAATATGGGGGTCCACGATAGTGGATTTCAACACATACACTGATAGTACCTATTTACTTACATCATACTATCTTATAATATCAAAACATATACATTATTTATAAAAGTACCTATGAAGTAAAAAAATTATTATATATGTTTATAAAATTGTGTAAGTTGTAGGATGTTGCTATTCGCTTTGTGGTTGCAATGCATTTTGAACTTGTAAAAACCTGAGAGTCGCAGTCTCAGCGCTTCGCTACCTTGCACTGACTTGTTCAATTCGTCACTCTATAAATACGAATGTGAGACAAATACGTTTATTCGTTTCCTGAATCTTGAAAAGGAAAGTGCTAAGAAAATATTTTAAAAAATATAAACAGATAGTATATCACACAAATTATAGTGAGTCAGTGTTATTTTGTTTGAGAGTGCTGGAGAAAAGTAAGTACATTATTTTTTATTAAATTTTAGTTTTGTACTCGTAGTTAGCAAAGATAGATAAATTACGCCAATCATGACTTTAGTTATTAGTAGTTAAATATTCAATCATGCAAAATTACACGAGTACTCCTCAATAGTTTCTTTTTGAAAGTTTTAGCAATCGGTAATATAATTACAGTGCAATCTCCGTAATTCGAGCTAATTGTTGCAAGAAGATGTTCGAATTATGGAATGTTTTCGGAAAAATCAAAAAATATTTTTAATATACAGCTGCTGGATTTTCTGTCTTATTTAAATAATTTAATTTTGCCCACAGATAACTGATGCCATGTCCGAATCTAAAAAGAAATGTAGACAGTACAGTGTTGATTATTTGAAATTTGGCTTCATTCCATCATTGCCGGACAAACAATCGCCTATGTGCCTTTTATGCAACAAAGTTTTGGGCAATGACGCTATGAAACCATCTAAACTGCAAGATCATCTGAGAAGATGCCACCCTGATAAAACAGAGAAAGATTTGAAATACTTTCAAACACTCAAAGATAAATTTCAGAAAAGACCTACACTGGACAGAATGTTCGCTTCGACGTCACAAAGAAATGATGATGGTTTGCGGGCGTCTTACAATATCTCGTTACTTATAGCAAAATCCGGAAAACCGCATACTATCGGAGAGAAGTTAATTTTGCCAGCCGTTGAAGAGGTTTTGAAAACTGTTTTACACAAACCTGCATCTGATATCATTAAAAGAATTCCCTTAAGCAACAATACTGTTGAAAGACGTAATGATGAAATGAGTTCTGATATTGAAAGCTTCTCATGTAATTATTTGCAAACGACCCATTTTTCTATACAACTGGACGAGTCAACTGTACCTGATAATGCAGCATTATTATTGGCATATGTTCGTTTTATTATGAATCAAGAAATCTACGAAGAACTGCTCTTCGCAAGAACTTTGATAACCGACACTCAAGGTGAATCAATATTTCATGTTTTGAAGGATTACTTCATTGAAAAAGCAATTCCTTTATCAAATATAATATCAGTAGCTACAGATGGAGCACCTGCCATGGTTGGACGTTGTCGTGGATTTATAAGCTATTTAAAACAAAATGTGTCAGCAATACATTGCGTCATCCATTGACAACATTTAGTTGCTAAAAATTTGAGTGTTAGATTGCATGAATCACTTCATTTAGTCAATGATGTAGTAAACCGAATCCGAAGCAACGCGTTGAATACGCGGTTATTTGCGCAGTTGTGTGGAGAAAATGACGAACACTTTCATCAATTACTCCTTCACACTGAAGTACGCTGGCTGTCAAAAGGCTTATGTTTGACAAGAGTTTTTGCACTTTTTGAGACTATTTTAGAATTTCTGGAGACGAAAGATAAAATTTTAAAAGAAAATTTAATGAAGAGGAAAACAGACATCGCCTATTTAACAGACTTGTTTGCAAAATTTAATATGGTTAATTTGCAATTACAAGGCGACAGGTTAAATTTGATTAAAACAAAGTCCATCTTATCAGCGTTTCTTGCCAGAGTTAAACTAATGAAGCAAAATATTGGACGGGGAAAATTTTCTCAGTTCCCCAATTTGTCACAGACAAGCTGAAAGGAAGACGATGTTTCAACTTACGTTCAACATTTAAATGCCCTCTATTCAGATTTTGAATCTAGGTTTGAGGATATTTTGACTATGGTAATACCACTCTGGATAATTAATCCATATGGTGACATAGAAGAAACGAATGTCATAATACAAGAGGAACTGACTGAACTAAGTACAAACGAAGAACTTAAGGTTCAGTTTAAAAACGGATATCAGCAATTCTGGCTGCAAAACAACATACCCGTTACTTATCCCGTATTACGGAATATAGCGAGGAAATTTTTAATTTCCTTTCCATCGTCATACCTAGTGGAAAGGGGGTTCAGCGCTGTTACCAATCTCCTAACGAAAAAAAGAAACAGACTGGACATCATTAGCCGAGGAGATTTAAGATTAATCCTTACAAAATTGATTCCAAATGTTGATAATTTATTATTAGCATCAGGTTCACCCTTCTCACTAAAAATATTGACTTATTGCTTATGTTATTTTATTTATAGTTTATTTTATGTTTATTGGTGTCTGACCAATAAATGTCCGTATTCGGAATAAGTGCCCGCAATGATTTTTTTAAAGTATATAAATATATAGAAAATATTTTTTTTTCAAATTATTCTGAAAATTCAAGGATAGGTACACACTAAAATTCGTTAATTTTTTGCCTATTTTTAGATAACTTAAACGTATAAGAAGCGGAATTTAATCAAACTAACAGTGAAATTATTGTAGAACATACGTTTATGTTATAATTAATAAACGAACTCGCTTATTGTACTATTTTAAGTGAAAAACTTTTTTTTAATTGTTTTTCACTTTTTTTTATTTTATCCCTCTTATTTTTTTTTCAATGCGGGCACTTATTCCCAATGCGGGCACTTATTGGTCAGACACCTGTTTATTTAATGTTACGTATATTTTACATAACAGATACAAAATTTTATTTTGAGTAGTTTTAATTTAAATTCAATTAATAAATGTATAAATTAACATGTGTTTTTACTTTAAGTTTTTAACACTAAAATTTACAGGAAATCAATATCAGGTAAGTAGGGAGTCTACCCAACACGGAAAAACATGGCAAGCGGTCTACGACACAAACAAGTTTGGGGAACTCTGGTCTATAACATGAAAGGTACCAATCAGGTTTTAACGAAGTTGTGACATAATGTTACCACTATTTCAAGGATACAAAATAGCGGCGAAACAACGGTCAAAAAACAAAAATTAATAATCGATGCTCAAACTTAGTTTTTTGATGTTTCAGAGATTCCCGCTTGATTTGGAAACAATTTTTGTGTGTGTTAGGGGGTGGGAGTTTGTAGGGGGTGGAGGTGTATCTCAAGCTTTTGGCAGACTTAGAATGAACGAAAGAAAAGAGTCGCAAAAGAGGGTGATCTCCTTTGTTGTACGTCGTTCTATGACCTGATGATAGCGTTTCTTGGAAAATATAGAGTCAATCTACTCGACACGATTTTTTGGATACAGATACAGTGTAATTGAGCAAAAATATTTAGTGAATAAGATAAAGAAAAATTGCTTGAAAATATCAAATGTCAAAATTGAAAACATTTTGGTACAAAGAGTGGTATCAGGAATAAATTAAAGAGCACCAGCGTACAAAAACGGTTTTTATTGTATAATAAAGTATTGCAAAGAGGGTATAAAAACGTGAAATATTTCTTCTTCCTTAGGTATCTCAATCCTTTAGGCCCGTATCGTCAGTCGTCCCTACAATTGTAGGGCGCGTTTATGGACTCCTTGATTGTCACTACTCCTTTCTCTCCTTCAACAATTTCTGGATTGCACTTGTCCCGTGTCAGCGTCAGCGCTCTCCTATTGTGAAGATATGTTTTCTTTTTAAATTGCAGAAAATTTCAGGCTGGTAAAACATGATATAACTCAAAAGCAAGCACAATTTGATGCAAATAGATGTTTGTGACATAACCTCAAAATAGAGCGTTGACACGGAGAAGTAGAAAACGATGACAATCAAGGAGGCCATAAAGGCGCCCTACAATTGTAGGGACGAAAGTTAACATCAAACATATCTAGTCAATGTTTTTCTATTTTTATTTTGGGTATAGCTTATCGTAAGGTATTTTTGTAACGGATTTGAAAATGAGCTCGTCGAAAAGTGCACCAAGGACTTGTTCTATGGTTGGTAGCAGCTCATCTACAATCACCATCAAGTTGTCGTGGATGACCTGCCTTGCGAGAACCTCTGCGAAAAAGAAAAATGCATTATTGTATAGTGGAATGCTCCATTTTTACTCTCCCGAACCTCTCTGTTGTCAAATTGTTCTTTTTTCCAGGGCTGCCTACAAATTACTGCAAACATGGCGGAAAATTCAAATCTTGCGTTAATTAAGGGACAACATATATACTAAGTGACATATAAATCCGAACACCCAGTTTAATTGGTTTTATTTTAATAAAATTTTGTATAAGTACTTAATGAAGCATAATAAGTAAATGATAAAAATTTCAAAATGATTGCACTGCTTTTAAGCCCTTTGATCTTTAATAATGTGTGGGTGCACCCTGATGTACTACGCATTCTCTAACGCGCCTAGGCATGCTTCTGATCAGGTGGTCAATGTCCTCCTGTGGTATCTCATTCCAGGCAACCACCAACTCCTCTCGAAGTGCTTCTAGAATCTGAGGAGGACGTTGCAAATTGAGCAATCTCCTACCCATCATATCCCACACGTGCTCAATTGGGGATAAGTCGGGAGATCTTGGTGGCCATGGTAACAATGTGACATCATTATGTTGAGAGAAGTCTATTGTGACTCTTGCAACATGTGGTCGGGCATTATCTTGTCGGAAAGTTGGATCTGCCAGGGTGTCAAGATAGGGTAAAAGATGGGGTTCTAGAACTTCGTGGATATAACGCTGCGCGTTCATGTTACCTCTGATGAAGATTAAAGGTGACCTGGAACCATAAGCTATAGCACCCCAAACCATAGCTCCTACAGTGTGATGAACATGTCTTTCAACAAAAAACTGTAGATTCCTCCTTTCACCACGTCGCCTTCTAACCCTGGCACGACCATCGTGCATGCCTAAACAAAATCGAGACTCGTCACTAAAGACAATACTGTTCCATTCCTGATCCCAGAGTGGCCGTTGTCTGCACCACTCAAGGCGATTACGTCGGTGTTCTCGAGTTAAAGGGAGGACCCAGTGTGGCCGGTATGAAAACAAGCCAAAACTTCTCATTCGTCGGTAAACACTTCGCATGCCAATAGGTCTTCCGTGTTCTGCAAACCATTCATTTGCAATGGACCTGGTAGTGGAGAAACGGTCCCTTAAGGCCAATAATCTTAAGCGGCGATCTTCACGGTCTGTTGTTCTACGGCGGCGTCCAGTGCCCCTTGCTCTTTGCGTACGGCCTTCTCGAAGCCATGCCTGACAACACCTAACCACAGTGTCTACACTTCTTTGCACTCTAACTGCAATTGCCCGAAAAGAAAGTCGAGCTTCCCGAAGTCCCACTATAGGGCCCCTATCAAACTCACTAAGTTGACGAAATCGTACAGGCGTCCGTACTCTAGGCATCGTAACCGATCGTAAAGGATGTCAAGAACCAAAATCTGCCAACGTTGATTCTTTACTGCGGCTGAAATATTCATTTTTAGAGCGTTAGTGAATTAAAAAAAAAAGCAGTATAAAAACCGGAATGTCCAACTGATAAGGCTGAAAATTTTTTCACTTGTTATTTACAGTAAGATAAATACATTCACCAATTTTTATTAAAATAAAACCATTTAAACTGGGTGTTCGGATTTATATGTCACTTAGTATATTATGTTTGATCAATAATTCATTGGAAACTTTTAACCGATATGCAATCCATCGCATCGATGAATTCTGCTTATCTTTTTTTGATTGATACGACGGACTTCATTGAATTTTTCTTAAAACCCTGTAACATTTGCACCTGCACCTTGGAAACCAATGTCTTCATTTTACATTCGCTGTGAATCTTACCTTATTCAATCGGCATCTGAGATATAGGTGACCAGTTATGCACAACGAAGTTAGAATGGAAGCTCAACGAAAACCGTTTAAAATACAGTGGACCCCCGACAATCCGGCCCCTGTCTAATCCGGCGCCCCCTGTAATCCGACATGTCTTTGAATATGTACTACATACATACATATTTGACAATCTTCGGTAATGTAGATCACGCAGGTTTGAACAGGTTACCACGCCACCGCTATCGTGCTCGACGCGTAAGCATTGTTTTACTTAGTTTTAATTTGACTACTTGTGATAGCGGTACAGCCTAGCGCGCGTTTATTGTTTACTATTTATTCATTGTGTATTAAGTATAGTACCTAGTAATGTCATCACAAACTCGGAAGCGAAAGCACAAAGCATTGACAATTAAAGAAAAATGTGATATTTTAGACCGCCTAAATCGCAATGAAACTTTCAGTAGTTTAGCAAGTGAATACGGCGTAGGCCGATCTACAATTTATGACATTAAAAGAAACCACGAGGAGATTAAGAAGTTCGTGTCAACTACTGACTGCGGGCCAGGCAAGAGACAGACACTCAAGAAAGCTGAACATCCAGAAGTGGAAGAAGCTTTGTACATGTGGTTTCTTCAGGAAAGAAATAGGCATGCACCAGCTGCAGAACCCATGTTGGCCATGAAAGCTAAGTTTTCTTATAAGGAAATAACAAAAAAAGATGATTTTGTTGCCAGCAAAGGATGGCTAGAACGTTTTAACAGTCGTCATGGCATACGTTTAATGACTATTACAGGAGAGAAACTTTCTAACGATGCCACCTGCATAGAGTCCTAACAAAACTTTCGTTTCTTGTAACGAAAAATCCGTACGGACGAAAAGTAAGTAAAGAGCGTGTAACCATACTACCATGTGCTAACGCTGCAGGCACACACGCGCTTAAGATGATGGTCATTGGGAAATCTAATAAACCACGGGCATTCAAAAACATTGATTTACCTGTACACTATTACGGACAAAAAAGTGCATGGATTACAAAAGACCTTTTTAAAAAGTGGTTTGATGAATGCTTCGTACCTGAAGTTAGAAGTTGGTTAAAAGATCATAATTTTCGTCAAAAAGCGTTGTTCCTTCTTAATAATGCTCCCGGTCATCCGTCTGAAGAGGAACTAACAACTGAGGATAAATGCATCACTGCAATGTTTCTTCCGCCAAATTGCACTGCACTGATTCAACCAATGGACCAGAATATCATTCAGTTTGTCAAGCAAGACTATAAGAAAAACCTACTTCTGAGAGCCGTATCAAAAGACCAACCAATAGTAAAACTTTAAAAGAATTTAATATGAAAGACTTGGTTTTTGCTCTTTGTCAGTCGTGGAATGCGTTACCGTCATCAACTATTAAATCGTCTTGGAAAAAGTTATGGCCAGATATAGTCACCACTCCTAGCAACGTTCCACAAATCACTGTTACTTCGGAAGTTATACTTAGAACAAGTCGCTACTGAAACACAGATAAGTTCGGAAGATTTGGAAATCTGGTGCCGTGGAATGGATAAAGAGGAAAATGTTTTTCATGAAATGTCTGACGAAGAGATTATAAAAGAGGTTTCTAATTATACAACAAACAATCAGGAAAATAACGACGACGTGATTGTAACTGCTCCACAAGTCACGCAATTAACGCCTTTGAGCTAGGTTTACAATGGGCTGAAGAGAATGGTACATCCTACAACGAACTTTTACTTTTGAGAAGACTGAGAGACAATGCTCTGATCTCGCGTTATAACAACCTTAAACAAAAAAAAATTGATGAATATTTCCAAGCTTCATAATTTGATAAATTCATTAATGATTTTGATTAATAATTCTTGATTATTTTGTTACATATCTATGTGCATTTATGCTTAATTTTATAATAAAACGTAAGCTCTCTATTGTTATTTAATTTACTAAATTCTAAATATATAAACTATGTATGATTTGTACTTCAAAGTACATACATATACATAACATATATAATCCTACCATTGGATATGTAATTTGTCGGATCACAAGGTACTCTTTTGTAAAAAATTCCGAACTATAGGGGGTCTTAGGCAGTGCTCTATAATCCGACAAATTCGATAGTCCGACACTGCCCTGCATAATGTTTGTCGGATTACCGGAGGTCCACTGTACCTGGTTATGTGATTATGCTTTTATGACCATATAATCACGTGAAATTCTTCCTGAATGCACATTAACATTAATAAATTTATAATGTCTTTGCTAAGATAAAGTCAGAAGGCCGGAGCTTTATCACATATCTTTTAAAAGACATTGAGAATGGAAAAATTAAAAAGAATATTACTTAATGTACTGATAATATGCAATAAATACTTTTATTTATTTACCTAATTCTTTGTTGTCTCTGAATAGCCCATCAAAACCGTAATCTATTATTTTCCCAACTCTCATTTTAGGCAATGTCTTCGTTGGTTTCAGAAAATCGGTACCATTTTTCTGTACGATATCTACCGTATGGAATATGGCACAGGAAGAATCAGCTAGAATATATAAAAAATTATAAGGAAACCAAGTAAGGATACCCAAACATTTTTATTACTTACTTATATTGACGTGGAAATCGCCATTCCCTTTCAGTGGCGCAAAGAATATCCTTCCATTGAGATTATACCTTCCCTTTAAGAATAGATGCGGAAGTTGGACATTTATTAAGAACGTACGGTTATCACTGTTGTAGCTGAAATAGAAAATCAAGTTATTTTCGAATTCGGATAATTCTCTTAATCGTTATTGTCACGACGAAGGGAAATGTTCGGTGAATAATAATGCATGATATCTCACTGTTAAGCTATGGTACGAGGGTTGTTTCAAGAATAAGGTTCCCACATTTTTTTTAAGCACAAGGAAATTTTGTATTTGCAAAAACGAATTTATCAACGGAAAGGTTGATCTTAAAGCTATTTTTCGCCATCGTCGCAATTTTTTTTACGCATTTTTTTACACGTGAAATCTCCCGTCCACTGAGTTTCCGCTAATGTGAAGATATTTCGAAGAACGAAGAATTTATTATCTCATCTATTTTTAGTACCTTTTCCTTTTCGGTTATTTAAATAAAAAAGAAGAAAATAATTATACTGACAATATGTTTTCCTCAATTATACTGATTCTATTCCATGATCAGCTGTAAGGGTTTGCATAGCCTTTCTCTCCATCTTCGTTTCCTCAAATGTGGTGTATCCGGGTTCAAAGTCCATTTATTCAGAATGACGTTGAAATACAGGGTCAACCTACTTGATGCCAATCTTTTCTGATAACCTGCATTACCAACGGGCCACTTTAGGTCTATTCAACATCACTAACACGTAAAAAGAAGGTGGTAGACAAGGACCAGTCGACCGAGGTAGTACCACCCGCTAGCTTTTCCCAGGGTGTCTTATAAATGTCCGCATGTTTCCACACCTAAGCTATGCAGTCGGTTATCTACCAAAACAAAGAAACTAATGATGATGGATCCCTCGAGCACTAAAAACTCCGGACGTAAACTCACTCCACTCTCGGAATGTCCGGGTGGAGGGTGGGCTCGAGGGAACAACATCGAAGATAAAATTTGTTTTTCGAACATCTGCAGGATCAACAGCAACATTGATGCTGTCCATCACTACCTGCAACCCAATCGTCCCGCCGTGCTTTTCTTGGCGGAGACAAAAATCTCAGAGACTGCACCGATTAACCATCTCAACTTCCCAAACTACGAGGTGCACTCCAATCTGAGAAAGAACGGGGGAGTTGTGGCTTTTGTCCGCAGCAGTCTTTCCTGCTCCAGGGATCTTTCTTTGGAATCAGACCGGAAGGACATTCTGTGGCTTCGCCTCAACTCCAAAACATCACCCAAATTTATTTGCTGCCTTTATCGCTCTCCCTCGAACCATAACTGGGATGACCTACTCGAATACCTCGCCGTCCAGATCGACTACCTGAACATCAATCACCCCGCTTCAGAGGTAGTTCTTCTCGGTGATTTCAATGCCCATAATGAGCTTTGGTTGGGCTCAAATAAGACCGATGCAGCAGGTCGTGCAGTCGAAGCGTTCGCTCTTACTCAAGGGCTGACCCAGCTGGTGACGAGCCCTACTTTTTTCCCCCGGGTCTCGTCACACTCCAGTAGCCTGCTGGATCTCTTTCTGACCACGCATCCTGCCTCTTACAGCACTGCTGTCCTGTCCCCCCTGGGTAACTCAGATCACGGTGTTGTGGAGGTTAGGTTTTGGTCAGAAGCCGCTGTGGCAGCAGAAACTCGCACAGGCCGCAAAACTTGGCATTACGGACATGCCGACTGGGAGGGGCTCAGAGACTTCTTCTCTAGCTTTCCTTGGAGAGATGTCTGTTTCACTGACGCGGATGCGTCGACTGTCTGTTCTTCAATAACCGAAATTATCCACGTCGGAATGGAGGAATACATCCCTCACACAGTGAAAGTTCCTAAACCAGGGTCCAACGGCTGGTTCAACAAATCGTGTGACACTGCTCGCCAGCAGAAGATCAAGGCCCACAGAACCTACTTACAAAACCCCACTGTAGAGAACAGACAAGCCGACATCGAGTCCAGAAACAAATATAACGAAGCGGTCCGCAATGCCAAAACCCAGCATGATATAAAAGTTAGGCACAGGGTAATGTTGTACTGAAGAGATGTGCAGCTGAGCTTGCTCCAGTTCTTTCGCGTCTCTTCCAGATATCTTATGAATCCGGCACCTTCCCAGAAAACTGGAAATTTGCTCATGTACAGCCCATCCCAAAAAAAGGATCTAAAACCGACCCTTACAACTACAGGCCTATAGCTCTGCTTTCTGTTATAGGTAAAGTGATGGAGAGGTGCATAAATCGCGAGCTTCTGAACTACCTCGAACGTCACAGCTTGATTAGCGACAGGCAGTACGGTTTCCGGCACCAACGATCCACAGGGGACCTCCTAGCTTACGTCACGCAACTGTGGAGTAAACTCATCCAGTCTCATGGTGAGGCTCATGTCGTTGCTCTTGACATCACGAAAGCGTTCGATCAGCTGTGGCACGCTGCCCTCTTGAGCAAACTTCCATCCTACGGCCTCCCAGAAAAGCTTTGCAGATGGGTGGCTGACTTTCTCTCTGGCCGCAAGATATCCGTCGTAATTGACGGATTCTCCTCTTCATCCCACAACGTCAACGCGGGTGTTCCCCAGGGGTCGGTCTTGGCTCCAACACTGTTTCTCTTACATATCAACGACCTTCTTTCCTGCACGATCAACCCAATCCACAGCTTCGCTGATGACAGCACTCTGCATGCAGGGATTCAGAGTGACAAGCCGATCTCTGCCGCTGAGCTGGAAAAAAGAAGACTAGCGACAACTTCTTCTCTGACAAGAGACCTGGAGGCTATCACTGCTTGGGGACGCAACAATCTTGTACAGTTCAATGCTTCCAAAACACAGTACTGTACTTTGACGAACAAAAAGCGTCCTAGCGCTCATGCAGTTTCGATAGACGGTAGAGTTCTACCAAAGAGCCATTCATTTCGGCTGGTCGGAGTCCAGATCACCGAGGACCTGATCTGGCACGAACACATCTCTTCAATAGCTGCAGCTGCTGGGAAAAAGCTAGGCTATTTGTTTAGGGCTAAGAAGTACTTTTCTCCGCATGACCTTCTCACTCTATACAAGGCCCAGATAAGGCCTAGCCTCGAGTATTGCTCACACATTTGGGGTGCTGCCGCCCCGACTACATTGTCCATGCTCGATGCTGTCCAGAGGAGGGCGGTCCGACTGATCGATGGCTCTTCTCTAACAGACAGTCTCGGGACTCTTTCGCACCGGCGGGCCGTCGGCGATCTAGCTCTTTTCTATCGCTACACCAACGGGCTTTGCTCCTCAGAGCTCTCTTCCATGATGCCGCCGCGCGATGTGCCTGCCAGACAGACCCGCCTGACTTCGGCGTCCCATCCTAACCGTGTCAAACTTCGTACCTCCAGAACTGGCCGATACGACCGCTCCTTTGTCCCGAGGGTGTCTAGATTGTGGAACAATCTACGGGAGGAAGCTTTTCCCAGTTCTACTAACCTTAGGCAGTTCAAAAATCGTATTAACAAAATTTCTTTGGGATCATCATAGCAGCCGCGGTGTTCCGGCATTTAGGCTTCTGCCTGCGCGGCTGTTTCGATATTAATAAAAAAAAAAAAATATCTCATCTAATAGGGTTGAACAGTTAGAATTATTGTAGCCCTACACTGAGAAAACGTAGTCGTTTAAACAGTCTTTCTGGAAGACTTTCGTTACCCGTAACGATTTTTTTAGTTAATCTAAGTAACTAAATTATTTGGTTCAATCAAACTGAATTTTCTGGGACCAGTTTAATCGAAAGTAACATACTATTAAACTGATTTTCTTGAAACTGCTTTGTTAAACTGTTTAATCAGTTCAGGTAATTTAGTTTATGTGAAAAGGTACATTTAAAACAATTAAACACTTCAATAAAAACAGTTAAACTATTTATTTGGATTGAATCGTTTGTGATTTTCGTGACGAGCTTCATATTTGACTGTTGCCATTGTTAGTTTAGCAGCTTTCAATTGGATAAATTATGGTGATAAGGCCCCGAATGATCCATAACCATGATTAGAGCATTTTTTCCTCCCAATGGAGCACTCTGCCACGATTCTAGTTTTAACTAAACTTTTACTTACACTAATTAAACAAGTTTGATAAATATAATTACATTATTTTACTAAGAGCATGTAAACTTGTTTTAGTAGTTTATTAGATTTAAATAAACTGGTGCACTCAATCTAAGTAAACCGTTTAATTAATTCAATTAAACGGCTACGTTCTGATTCAATTAAACTGGTTTTATAGATTCAAGTTGTAGAAATCGGAGTTAAATTGAATTAATCAAACTTGTTAGCTGTCACATATTTATTTAAATTTTTTAATTGCCTCAATTAAAATTATACTTCTTTTGATTACATTTTTCTCCTAGTGTACTTATGTCTAAAAATCAATACTTACTAGTATCTGTTAAACTTGTAATCCTCCAATCCATACATGGTGAGATTGAACAATTCCGCCTTATAGTTCAACGCTTCGTTTCCGTCCTTCACCGCTATCCTCGGGATGCTGAAGTTCTGAATGCCCGGAATGAAGTCCGGAACTCCGGTTAGCACGAACGGGCGGACGGTTTCGGTCGCCTTCAGCAGACATTTTTCCATTTCGGGATCGTGCCGGTGACATCTCGGGAATCCTTCCGCTTTAATGGAGAATGCAGGGTAAATATTTGTCTAGAAAGATCTTTTAGGGAAAGAAGGGAACTCGCGAATACGTACACGATGGCTCAGATAATATACTAAGTGACATATAAATCCAAACACCCAGTTTAAATGGTTTTATTTTAATAAAAGTTGGTGAATGTATTTATCTTACTGTAAATAACAAGTGAAAAAATTTTCAGCCTTATCAGTTGGACATTCCGGTTTTTATACTGCTTTTTTTTAATTCACTAACGCTCTAAAAATGAATATTTCAGCCGCAGTAAAGAATCAACGTTTGCGGATTTTGGTTCTTGACATCCTTTATGATCGGTTACGATGCCTAGAGTACGGAGACCTGTACGATTTCGTCAAATTAGTGAATTTGATAGGGGCCGTATAGTGAGACTTCGGGAAGCTGGACTTTCTTTCTTTTCGGGCAATTGCAGTTAGAGTGCAAAGAAGTGTAGACACTGTGGTTAGGTGTTGTCAGGCATGGCTTCGAGAAGGCCGTACGCAAAGAGCAAGGGGCACTGGACGCCGCCGTAGAACAACAGACCGTGAAGATCGCCGCCTAAGATTATTGGCCTTAAGGGACCGTTTCTCCACTATCAGGTCCATTGCAAATGAATGGTTTGCAGAACACTGAAGACCTATTGGCATGCGAAGTGTTTACCGACGAATGAGAAGTTTTGGCTTGTTTTCATACCGGCCACACTGGGTCCTCCCTTTAACTCGAGAACACCGACGTAATCGCCTTGAGTGGTGCAGACAACGGTCACTCTGGGATCAGGAATGGAACAGTATTGTCTTTAGTGACGAATCTCGATTTTGTTTAGGCATGCACGATGGTCGTGCCAGGGTTAGAAGGCGACGTGGTGAAAGGAGGAATCCACAGTTTTTTGTTGAAAGACATGTTCATCACACTGTTGGAGTTATGGTTTGGGGTGCTATAGCTTATGGTTCCAGGTCACCTTTAATCTTCATCAGAGGTAACATGAACGCGCAGCGTTATATCCACGAAGTTCTAGAACCCCATCTTTTACCCTATCTTGAAACCCTGGCAGATCCAACTTTCCAACAAGATAATGTCCGACCACATGTTGCAAGAGTCACAATAGACTTCTTTCAACATAATGATGTCACATTGTTACCATGGCCACCAAGATCTCCCAACTTATCCCCAATTGAGCACGTGTGAGATATGATGGGTAGGAGATTGCTCAATTTGAAACGTCCTCCTCAGACTCTAGAAGCACTTCGAGAGGAGTTGGCGGTTGCCTGGAATGAGATACCACAGGAGGACATTGACCACCTGATCAGAAGCATGCCTAGGCGCGTTGGAGAATGCGTAGCACATCAGGGTGCATCCACACATTATTAAAGGTCAAAGGGCTTTAAAGCAGTGCAATCATTTTGAAATTTTTATCATTTACTTATTATGCTTCATTAAGTACTTATACAAAATTTTATTAAAATAAAACCATTTAAACTGGGTGTTCGGATTTATATGTCACTTAGTATATGTTATTCAGTTCTCATCTTCATATTCAAATTAAAATATCATTTATTATCACCACACTAAGAAAACTTCACAAAATTAGTCATTATCATAACTACGAAACTAGAGGTAGCATAGATTTTCATTTACAACATTGTAATGGTAGCACAAGGTAGGTATTCGAGTTTAGAGTTTTAAAAAGTATCATAATATCTTCTAGACAACATGGAGATAGTATAATGGTTTTTTGAAAAAATGGCAAACTGTTCATATCTCTCAGGCTAAAGATTATTAAGGAACATTTAGAAACATTCTTTAATATAGTCTATTATTATTCAAAAAATGCATATAGTCAACGCCAAACAAAGTGGCGTGCACGTCATCAAGGTGGGTGTGTTGAAAAATTTACGTTGTTGCCAAACTTTTTGTAAAATAATAAAATTTATTATTTACATATCTAGGTTTATAAGCAATATTAACCTCAAATGAGAACAAAAATAATAGTATAATAAAATTATAGATCTGTACTTGCATAATCATTAAGTATGACAATTATTGATCAGATGACACTATGAAACTACCATATTTAATTGATAGCTTAAAGGTACTGAATAAAAATCCAAATGGGGTCCTCCAAATTTTATGCATGGTATTTATTTTACAGAATTCATACAGAAAAATGCATTCTAAAATTAGGTAAGCTACTGGTGTAAGCTTTTTCTGTACAATAAAGTTAGTCGGAGTTTCTTTCTTCAGCGCTGTCTGAATCTGAATCTTCATCACTCTCAAAGTTGATTATTAAAGGTTCGATGTCTGGTCGATCAAAAATTCGTTCTCTTTCATACCATTTAAAAATTTCTTGCTCAGTATGTCGAACACTATTTTTCCACATGTCTGGGGTAACCGTTTGTAGAGCCTCGTTCCACATATCCAAACAGTCTTTTTCACTGTTACCATCTCTACCAATATGTCTGTTATAGTAACCCTTTGCTATGCCCCAAATTAACTCAATAGGGTTAAATATACAATGGTAAGGAGGCAGACGAAGAACTTTGTGCCCATGTTGTTCCGCCAATTCATCAATCACGTATATTTTAGGTGGTTTGTTTCTAAAAAAGCAGTTATTTTAAGAATAGGAATAAACAAAAGAAATATAAACTGTCGACCAAAATATATATAATTAAGAAGCATTATGTACCGAGCAACAATACTCAATAGCTCTGTTTTAAACATTGTGTTTAAAAATGGTATGTTTTGATTTGTCAACCAGTCTTGGATTTTTTTTGTCCATGCATTGTTGGGCACTTTGTTCAATATCATGCTGTGATAAGGAGCGTTATCCAGTATAATCATAGATGGACTCTCCAATTTTTCTAATAACTGATGTTGAAACCATTTCAAAAAATTGTCCTGGTTCATCTCTCCATGGTAATCGCTCAATTTTGTTTTCGAAGAAAATATCGCTTCACTACCCTCAATAAACCCATTTTCATTTCCAGCATGTAATATAATGTATCTAAAATATATTAGTTTTAAATTTTATAGTGCAAATTGTGTAAAAGTACATACCTTTTACCATCTGTTTTAATAGCTTTCACGCTTTTTTGGTTTCCATTTTGCCAAGAGCGACCTATGGTCCCATTTTGAAATATCCAAGTTTCATCGAGGAAGACAAACTGGTATAAGGCCTCAACCTTGGCTTGATTGTATTGCCTTAGAAATTCCACCCTTTTCAAAGCTATACTTGGTAGTTCCATGAGCCCTCGTCGCGGATTGTCCTTAAGCCACTTAAATCCAAGATCTCTAAGCAACCGCCTTAATCGAGACCATAAAGTTTGTATCGTAACTTGTTCTTCTGAAACCATGTGTAATATGACATTATAATTTAGTTAACAAATTAATGCAAATTTCTGATAAGTTATTATAATAAGATCTTACTTTTGTGATACATATTATAGATCACTTCTCGAATGGCACTTGTATCCAATGTCGCTGTGTTGGTTACACGTTTAATATAACTCCGCTTTTTCTTGGGCGATTCTAAATTTGCATCACTTTTCACACCCACAAAAAATGAAATAAAATTTCACTATTATTAATATACATTACATATAATTATTAGTAACCTACCTCTTGAACAGCATTTAAAGGCAACAAAGGCCCGTTGTTGTCCCTTTCTTGCTCAAAGTAGTGCACGAGGCCACGAGTTCCTTACACCGACTATTTAACTGTTTGGGCATCTTTATATACCAAAATTGCCTTTATCTACTCGTAAAATGAATAATTTTGTTTTGAAACAAACAGTTGTTGATTTACAGTATGCGGGGCCAAAGGATTTATAAAGATTTGAAATGCCACAAATTGATTCAGTGTCAAAATTAATACAAATGTCAGTTCCCAGTTTAAATAAGTTTCAAGGTGACAATGTGTCAACACTGCGAAATCGGTTTAGTGCGTTTACATGTCGATAAGTGATTGGAGCGTTTGCAAAACATTTTATTTCGCATAATGCGTCTAAATTTATCAGAAAGCAACTTATGTGATATTTTAATAACAATGTTTATATGACTATTAACCATAATAAGAGAGTAATGACCATTTTACAATTTATATATCACATTAATATGAAACTGCAATAGAGCAATTGTTTGTGATAGAAACCTAGGCATTAGGTCGGGGAATTTTTATCGTGATGACGTGCACGCCACTTTGTTTGGCGTTGACATATCCATCCAAAAAGATTTTTGACAACATTTTATGCCTAAAAACATTGAAAACCTCAGGTACTAAATAACGAAGTTATTTGGTATTACATAGTTTTTATTCATAATAAGTTTCACTTTTTGAGAGAGAGAGAGAGAGAAATGGCCAAATAGTGTTGGTAGATTTCTTCAGTGGTAAAATATATTAGATTTAAAAACGTTTTTCTCAGCATTCCAGCAAAAAAACGTGAAAAATCTGAAAATTTGGAAAAAGTCTACAGTGTCAAGAAAACGGTATATATTAGTGTTGAAACATTAAAACGAATATCTATTGGGTAAGAAAACTAACGTACCAACTTCCTAATTGTTTGCTCAGGACTTAAGCTTTTTCCCGGACAGGACTGATTTCAACATTACGCAGGGAAGCAAAACTGCAAATACTATCTAGAAATCTCAACAGACAAAAAGCAAAGTGTATATTTCCAAAGCCTTCAATGTTATATTCATTGCCACTTCTGGTGAAAGTGCTCGCATACGAAATGAACGTTACTCACGAAGATCATCCAACGCATCCAAAACACCTATCGATACAGCAAACACAATTAAGAAACCAAAACAACTATTTTGATCGAACATGTCGTCGTGAAAATAGTAACTAGAGAATGGCGCACCGCTTTGGAATTAGACCGCACTTCATCTGAATGCTTGCATAGTCTAGTAAATAAAAACTATACGATAAAATTTCTATCGGGTTGGATTATTCTAGGGCAGCGTTTCAAAAGCATTTCCAGACCCTAAGAAATCAAGCACTCTTTCAAGATATATATATATATATATATATATAGGTGAAAAATTAAAGCTTCCGCCTTTTGTTGGGTACTTCGACAAAATTTAAGCAAAGAGGACTCTTTATACTTTCTTTAATTCTCTCTAGCTTTCAATGGACTTTGCCATCATCATCAGGAGCTGCAATTACAATGATAACAGTAGCAACAAAAGTGTAAAATAAATTTAAATTGAATCAACTTACAGTAGTATGTGAGGATGTTGCTAATTGTTGTTTTCGTATAGGATGAGGGAAACGTCCAGTAACATGGTGAGAGCTGGATACATGGTACAATGGTTAAAATTATATAAAATATGACAAGACAAGTTAAAGAAAGATTAAAAATTATTTAGAAAACATTAGAGCATTACGTCGTGAAGCCACTTGATGATTGCACAAAATGGTGGTCATGGAATAATGAGTGAGATGAACCTTTGACAGAAGGCCGAAGGTTGTCAATGTCTGTGTTGAAAGATGGAACGAATTGTGGGCGTGTGCCAAAACGTTGTCAAATCACTTCAGATGATGTGATTTTCAGAATGTTATGTAAGAAATTGTTAAAAAAGCTTTAATTTTTCACCTAACTGGTCTAGACGACAATGACCACGTCTCAAGTTATATATATATATATATATATATATATATATATACTAAGTGACATATGAATCCGAACACCCAGTTTAAATGGTTTTATTTTAATAAAAGTTGGTGAATGTATTTATCTTACTGTAAATAACAAGTGAAAAAATGTTCAGCCTTATCAGTTGGACATTCCGGTTTTTATACTGCTTTTTTTAATTCACTAACGCTCTAAAAATGAATATTTCAGCCGCAGTAAAGAATCAACGTTGGCGGATTTTGGTTCTTGACATCCTTTACGATCGGTTACGATGCCTAGAGTACGGAGACCTGTACGATTTCGTCAACTTAGTGAGTTTGAAAGAGGCCGTATAGTGGGACTTCGGGAAGCTGGACTTTCTTTTCGGGCAATTGCAGTTAGAGTGCAAAGAAGTGTAGACACTGTGGTTAGCTGTTTTCAGGCATGGCTTCGAGAAGGCCGTACGCAAAGAGCAAGGGGCACTGGACGCCGCCGTAAAACAACAGACCGTGAAGATCGCCGCCTAAGATTATTGGCCTTAAGGGACCGTTTCTCCACTACCAGGTCCATTGCAAATGAATGGTTTGCAGAACACGGAAGACCTATTGGCATGCGAAGTGTTTGCCGACGAATGAGAAGTTTTGGCTTGTTTTCATACCGGCCACACTGGGTCCTCCCTTTAACTCGAGAACACCGACGTAATCGCCTTGAGTGGTGCAGACAACGGTCATTCTGGGATCAGGAATGGAACAGTATTGTCTTTAGTGACGAGTCTCGATTTTGTTTAGGCATGCACGATGGTGGTGCCAGGGTTAGAAGGCGACGTGGTGAAAGGAGGAATCCACAGTTTTTTGTTGAAAGACATGTTCATCACACTGTTGGAGTTATGGTTTGAGGTGCTATAGCTTATGGTTCCAGGTCACCTTTAATCTTCATCAGAGGTAACATGAACGCGCAGCGTTATATCCACGAAGTTCTAGAACCCCATCTTTTACCCTATCTTGACACCCTGGCAGATCCAACTTTCCAACAAGATAATGCCCGACCACATGTTGCAAGAGTCACAATAGACTTCTTTCAACATAATGATGTCACATTGTTACCATGGCCACCAAGATCTCCCGACTTATCCCCAATTGAGCACGTGTGGGATATGATGGGTAGGAGATTGCTCAATTTGCAACGTCCTCCTCAGACTCTAGAAGCACTTCGAGAGGAGTTGGTGGTTGCCTGGAATGAGATACCACAGGAGGACATTGACCACCTGATCAGAAGCATGCCTAGGCGCGTTGGAGAATGCGTAGCACATCAGGGTGCATCCACACATTATTAAAGGTCAAAGGGCTTTAAAGCAGTGCAATCATTTTGAAATTTTTATCATTTACTTATTATGCTTCATTAAGTACTTATACAAAATTTTATTAAAATAAAACCATTTAAAGTGGGTGTTCGGATTTATATGTCACTTAGTATATATATATATATATAAATAACAAAAATAGAAACATTTTCATCTTCTCTATATATCGATATATAATAATTAAGTATGTACTATAAATTTAACAGACGAAGCTCATTTAAACAGGTTTGCAAATTCTTCGTTAGTAAAATTGATAAAAATGGCCATTTCCAAGACCTGATTTAGAGAAATTTGTTAGTTTTATTTAGTATTTGTTGTTGTGACATAATTAGTAATAAAAAATTATAAAAATATAATTTCCAAAAGAAACTTTTTCCCATATTTCTTGTGTGGTCCAGAGATATGCAATTAAGAGGACTTTTTCCTCCAAATATTTTTAAATTCGGAGATCAGACGGATAAAATGTAAGACATAGCGTGCTTTTACTTCCCAAGCCACTGGGCGAGAAAGCATTATAATTCGCGAAAACTTTCGAAAATATTGTATTTTTTTTTGACATGGTTACTGGTCAGATTTTGATGAAATTTTCACACAAGACTACTACTATACCAAGGAAGAAAAAGCTTTTTAGTTTTTGGAAATCGGTCCAGTGGCGGCGGAGAAAAAAATCTAAGCACGCAAAAAAATAAAAATCGCTCAAACGTTGTTTTTTGATGTTTCAGAGGATCCTGATCATTTTTGAAAAAATAGCGTTGGGGAGGTTCCGCCAATAATTAAAATTTTATGGGCCTGTTTGACTGACTTGATCCGTTCAATTTCCATATTCATTATGCATGCCCGTAACTATAGTTATATTTGTATAATTTTGCAGTTTTCCATCCTGAAAAATACAGATCGGGATATTTTGAACGTTTAACTTGTTTTTTCTTTTCTTTACCAGACTATAAAGTGATTGCAAAGCCAATCAAGTTGCTTTGGCATTGTACCCTTGAGGAAGTCGATCACACTACTACGGTTTACTACTTCAGTTTTTATGGCGACATGTTATAATTAACTTGTGCGCCTGATAGCGGGATATATACTTTCATGGCTAACGTTTTATTTCTTAGACAAGACAATGGAAAACGCATTTCTCGATTTTTTAATAATCAACAACAGATTCGTACTATTTGATGAACAATAGCGATATGGTGGATTTTGTTCATTGATTTTAGAAGCAGTACTTGAAATGATCGAAGAGAAGATCAGTCGATAAATCGATTGCGTAGATCTAGAATCCGATCTTGACACTATTCGATTTTATGCTGGCTCGAGTCCCCAAATTACCATTTTCATATCAGAACGGAAGATGGAAATATTGTACAGAGTGGCGAACTAAGAACGCTGACCGTAAAATTCGAGGATAATCTGAACCTTTTTTGTTTCTTTAAAAAAAGGTTGTTGCGGATATTCAAAGATTTCCGTTAAAAATACACCCCTGAAAAAGTAGCTAAATTATGTCTAAACAAGCTCGTGAAAACCGCATCTTGATATCCTGTTAATAACCTAGAACTAGGCCAAAGAAAATTTTATACGTATATCCTTGAAATTTTAATTTTTTTAATTTGGAATTTCTTTTAAAAAAAAGAAAGGTTTTTAATGCCCCCGTAACTGTTCGAAATGTATTTTGTAGACTTTTGTATTTTGTCTTGATTATTAAATAATTTATGATCTTACTGTAAGGAGACTTCTAAAACAAGTGGTGACCTGGTGAGAAAGGAAGAACATTATGCCGATTTTTTTTACATTATGCTGGATTTCTTTGACATTATGTAGGTTATTCTACAAGCTGTAAGTTGTATGTGTTGATGATAATTACATTTGGTTCTTGTCTCAAATACACTTAATTGAGATTCAAAGCTAGAAATTAGTTGCGCATCCACTTTTTCTTATTCATTCTGGAAATTACATATACAAATTTGCTGAATTTCAGAAATGAGAGAGATAAGAAATAATTATATTCACTGTACACTGTCGAATTACAAGCCATATACATGATAACAGTAATTACACACAACGCGGGCGCGGTGATGATTTCCCGTAATTCTCCCCAGTTTTTCGTAATTTATAACTTTGAACATAACCTCTCTTCAGAAAGCACAACATAAACCCGTCATATTCAGTAATGATTTTCTCACACAGCAAATATCACTGATTTGATACACACACATGCAGACCAATACACATAATCATCCAGATGCGATCTTGCTATTCAACCAACTTTCTTCTCAGAGATAAAAACTACAGACCCGGATCACTCAGCCTCACAAAACTATGCAACCAATAATGCTTAGTTTAGTTGAGTGATTCCTCCATAGATGGACATTCACAACGATCCTAGTGAGCAAACGTGGAATGACTGTTTGCACCCTAAAAACTACCTAGTGTGCAAGTTGACATCTTATAGGGCTTTTTGACGATTTATAGGTTTTTTACATGATATCATTATTATTGTTTTTAGCGCTTTAGATTAAGTTGATGTAGACTTGAGTGTGGACGGACACTGATTTGCGACCCTCAGACCATGGACATGGGTCTTTAACTGCTGAGTATCATTTAAAAAAGACCAAAACCACCATTGGTAATGTTCTCAGTCGTCTGCTTGTTCTTCGTTAATGAATTTCGAAGATACAAACGTGTACAACCCGAATCGGTCGTAACAATAGGGTCATACACCTACTCATCATCTCTCGAATGGGTTGCGTAAATAACAAACTGTATTTGCATATTACCACTGCCTACGCGCGGACAGAGGACCACATGATGATGTTACTGTTGCCTGCCATGGCGTTGCCAAACCTCCGCCTCTCGGTCGAATGTGAGTCTTTCTGTGTTTGTTTTGCGCTTTCTGGCTGGA